AACTGTGTGAACTTACCGTCGGTTACGATTGTCCTCGGGTTTTCGATTTTGAACGGAGATCCTTCGGGAGAAACGTAACGGCTCTCCGGTGGATCTCCGGCATCTGATAACGGAGAATGAAATCGAAGAGGAGAGAGTGGTGATTCGATGTAACTTTGTGCTTCTGAGTTCGATGAGGTAGTTCGCTTCATGATGGCTAAAACCGTCGGGGAAAAAAAAAACTCCGATTCGATTTCTCCGGCGAGATTTTGATTTTGAAGAGGTTTTGTTTGTTTGTTATGTGCAGTGTGTGAGAAAGTTGGAGGAGGAAAAAAGGAACTTTAATTAACTCTTTTTTTTTTTTTTCCCGGCAACTGAAGAAAAAAGGTGCTGGACCCACTATGGATTTCTTCGTGGAGAATTAAAACCTCAAATGATCCAGTGTGACGCATGTATACCTGCACCCAGATGCTTTTAACCAATGGTGATGATACAAGTAGATTTCTGACGAAATCATAAGGTGTTTTATGATTTTGTGTGCATGTGTTTCCGTTGATTTTCTTTTTTGCTCTTTTTACCATCCATAAAGATTCATTCATTATATTTTATTTTTATGATAAAAGATTCCTTCTATCACTACGATATTAACAAATATTATGCACTAAAATAACTTTTCTTTTTAATGAATGATTTAGCAAATATATAATAAGGTTCATCCGTTCATATCAGTTTAGGCAAATATGCATTTCTCCTTTTTTTTTGGTAACTTAAATATGCATTTCTTCTTCAATTATTATGATTGGTTTTTCTAATAAACAACTCACAGTAAGAAAAAAGTAATAAAATGATTATGTAAAAAAGAAAATGAAACTTCTGACGACGAACGAACAAAGGATTTACTTTGCATGTCTTCGTGGAGGATTGAAAACCCAACTAATCGTGTGTATCTGTGAACCCAAAAGCTGACCAACGAGATTGCATCACGTCATTTCATTTCTCAATTTTGGCGCCAATCCAAAAAATTTCTTCTCCTTGTTTTCCTTGGAAGAAATAAGTACACTGAACCCACCTTACATTTGTCCGTGGAGAACTAAAACCCCGGTGATCGTATGTGACGCATGTATTTTGTTCACACAGATCTAACCAATGATATTGCACCACGTCGATGGTGACGCAATAATACGATGCTTTCTTTTTGTGCAGATGTTTACGTTTTTTATGCATGTGTTTATTGATTTTCTTTGCTCCTTTACTAACCATAACGATGTCATATTACTTAAAATATACTTATATATCAACTTACCAAATATGCATATAAACGAATATTTTATGATGCTTGTTAAACATGCTTTTCTCAAAAGACTATGGATTGCTCTGTGTTTTGGCTCTGTTTTTTTCTTTCAAGAACATATGGATTGATCATGATAAATAGTCGGATAATGACGAAATAATATAATTTTTTTTTATTAATCTAAATATTAGTTTAGCAACTTTGTTAACGTCTAAATTCAACAAACGTAAGAAAAATCGTTGTTCGGAACAATTTATAGTTATATATTTTTTGCTCTATGATTTTAACTTCTGCTTCCATCTTTTTCTCTATATATTACAAACCAAAATCCTAAGCCAATTCTCGAATAAAAATCAGCACAAAAGTTAAAGCTAGTCCAAGAAAAACACAAGGAATATACACATAAACGAAGCTAAAGTAAAGCAACATTGATCTCAATCGATTGTTTTTGTTTTTTAATACTGTCAAATCTTTTGTAGTTTTTTTTAGCAATCTCATTTGAATCAAATGTCTTCTCTCTTTAGAT